GACTTACCGTGTCCGTCTACACGCTGGCGAGCACCATTCCAGCTAGTTAACGGAAAGGCATGGAAATGACGGGCTGGTCATTTACTTTTTGGTGTACGCTGGTTTATTACATTAACTAAACATTAAACCCGTTACGGCGCTTGCTAAATCTGAAGTAATGTTTGAATACCGCATATGTTGTTCATAGGCCATATAAACAACTTTAACATCTTGGTTGGCATTACGCATAGATTACTTAAGTGTACAGTAAACGAATAATATTATCTATAATTCCACACAAAACAGATAAATCTTGGAATGCCTAAAAAGTTACAGCTGCAAATGTTTACCTAACAATGCTCGACAGCGTGGCAGCAGAGAAACAAGCGCATCTGAGCTTCGTAAGATATAATAATGCCACAATTTTACTACGCTTAATGCAAATAAATACTACAGTCGAAGGAAAGCAAACGGTATTTAGTATTTTGAACAAATAATCTTGGATCTCCTTCCTCCTCTTATCTGTTACTACCTCCATTGAGCTTAATAGTCACTAAGCCCGGTGACAATGTAGACATCCTTGGATACACCAGCAATTTTTCAGAACTCTGTCTTTCCGTTTCGCGTTTATTGATCAAGGTAAACCCGGCGCAAATTACAGCAGGTTTATTAAGCCAAAGTGCGCGATATAAATTGCTTGTTTGCGTCCATAACTAACTACTCTTCCGAGCCAATAAGGTTCTCCCTTTGCTTCAGTTGAAGAAACCGCGACTGGGTCACAGGAATTTTGGCCAAGGTATGTCCAGTAATGGAATCCTTTAAGTCCGTCACTCATTGGTTGTTTGCTTCACGCGGTTGGTTCATCCGTTCACATTGATATGACACTCCAACCATAAACATAAGCATATCTGAGCATGACTCTCTCTACTCAATCTCCGCCAGCCTTAAAATTTCTTCATTCTACCTTACACTTTATGCCCCTTCAGCGAAGACATTTTTCTTAGTGCCACAGTCATTCGCAGTAAAAGACATTAGCTACTTAAATGTTTGGTACGCACAGATGTAGCCGAGCGTGTCCAATTGAATTTTCCTACGCACTATGGACCACTTTTCTCTGTTTGTACACTTAAATCCTCATATATGCGAATAGAATCTTTAGCATGTTTGACACCAAGGCGCGATTATCAGACTATGCTTTATACATAGCGTAGATAGAGTGTCAAAGGAATTGATATATGAACGTCTATCAGCTTTAATGTAGCCATGCTCCGCTGCGATAACCATAACACATGTTTCCATTTCGTGCCATAACTTGAACCGGACCTTTCTCAAAGCTAAGCTTGCGTATCTTGGCAGCCGGTTTTGCGTAACTTGGACAAAGTCAACGGTTATCGCAAAAGCAACACTAAAAAGCTAACTGAGGCATCTAATAAGTTGTCTAGGACAATACCATTTCAAAACCGTTACTTCTCAATATGCCCACAGTGTAGAAAATGCTCAACTATATTAACAAGCTAAGAACGTTGTAGCGTTAGTGAAACTAGAGTTGGCTTCGTGTGCTTGAAGATTTTGATAAACGTGACACAAAATTGTCTCCTACGGCTTTTTGTGGAAACCGTAATTAAATAAATAATAGAAAGAACATGTGACCATAAGCGCAAGTTTTGGTAAGGAAAATCGTATAACTTGACTTATATGGCAGCGGCATATATATTTAGCCAAACTGGTTACTTCTATCTAGTAAAAGCTTACCAAACAAAATAAAATGGTCAAGCATAGAAGTGGTGGTAAATAAATGCAGAATTTTGCTTGTGGTCCTATCACAGTTTGTCTCAATTCCCGGCTCTACTCAACAATCAGTTGTAAACGTTAGTGTTTACTGAAAAACCTTGCAACTTTTGTAAACAAAAGAAAGGATAGTAAAAATGTCACAACCTGCTAGAATAGAAAAAATGGTTGGCAAAAATAAGGAAAGAACTAACTAACATTGTGAAACACTAGAGAGTCAGTGAGGTAAAATAATGTACAACTACGCTTTTTGGCTCGTTCTTGGGACTTATAAAATGTGTAAGTGGTGATGTATCTCTCGTGAACCAACTCAGAAGTTTAACTTGGTTTACAAGCAGTATGCATGTCTGCTACTTAATAAAATGGTATTGGAAATAGAAAGCTCATTCACTTAGAATACAGTAGTAGGGTAACTAAAATCTATAACCGTACGTCTGTTACAGACGACTACTAAAGCCTCCTTAACAGATAATCTTACGCATCATGTTACAAGTTGTGTAAGTCACTGAAGGTTGCAGCTGGCGACTAACGTACATATTTGTCCTGAGGTGTAAAACATACAGATAAAATTCATCGCACCTATCTTATCTACGTGCTACTGCACAAGACTTAATAGTTGCCAGTCAATGCGTTACTAACGATATCTGCCAAAACAAACAGTAACCAATCAATTCTGTTGGCACTAAACGGACTTGGTAAAAGAGTAAAAACAAGGCGTAGTTGTATTAAAGAGGTTAAGGATATTAATGAGCAAAACATGATACATGTCTTAGGTATTCTGCTATACTTATAAAGATAGTAATAGGCAAAACGGATTAGTACTTCAAAACGATGGTAACCGTGCTAAAAATGTAAAAATATATCAAGCTGCGCAATTTCCTTGTCTTTTTGTAATGCCAGACAATAGTGCCAGCAATATTATTAAGGTATATATATATAACTGCGTGACCGTAAAACTAGACTTTAAGCCACCGAAAGGCGATTAGCAACAAACGATCAAAGGCACAAACGTCGGCAAGATGAAACCAAGATTTTGGGCCTAACGGCTTTTTGTGTATTGTTTGTTTTCACACGCCAGTTTGTTTTGTTTTGGCGTTTAGAATGGTAAAGCGCTTATCAGCTTGTTCAAAAGACTTTAGGCTACAGTCCTTTCATTGATGCCGGTTTTGTGATGTAAGGCCAATTGTCTCGAGCCATTGCCGGTCCTCATCCTTGGAGCTCAACCAGGAATATGTAAAAGACCGAGGACTACGAGACGAAATGCCGGTCATTTCATGGTTTTCGGCCAAGTGGTTAGCTGACCTACATGCCTTTTTTCCAATTTAATCTCGTGTGAGAAAATAAGTCGGGGCGCGGCAAGTGCTCGTATGACATTCGAAGAATGTGGTCAAGCTAATCAAATTGAGGCATTGCGACAATTTCACAAAGTGTGAGGCCTATGTTTCCAAAGATGCGACACCAAGCTTCCCCGTTGAGAACCCAGTGCTGCCACAAAACCTGTGTTATCCGCCGCAAACATGTGTTGTCGATGAGCAAAAGCCTGCGCATACCACCTACACGGATAGGCCAGGACTCACTTCCGTACAACAGCACATCAAAACACTACGGTTGCACATCCTCCCTTTTAAGTAGATGGATATGTCCCGCCGACACTACAATTGACTCAGGGCGGTAATAAATGCATAAAGCTGTTAGTACCGTTTTGTCAACAAAATGAAATGCATATTACTTTCATGTAAGCGCAGCCAGGTGAACGCATAACTCTTTTACTGTAAAGTTAGGCTTTTATACATTAACAGCTAGTAGATCTGATTGTTTAGCGGGCTTATTAACCAGTACAACTTAAATGTGATTCCAAATTTTGACCGAAGGTTGTATTTATGTTACTGCATTTATACACTTGAAAATGCATAAGCGTATACGACATCGCACTGCAAGGGTGATCAAATGGTGCCCAAGGGTGACCGTTAGTGCCCACAGAGTACCAAATATTTGCCATGACAATACAATTGGAGATAGGTAGGACGCAATTTGATCTCCCAGGGAATTTTTCACTGCACCCTTACCACTTACCGTAAATGCATTTTTCTGATTGCAGATACCGCCGACATTAAACAAAAATCGATGCCCAAACGGCAATTACGGTGCGTGCATGATAGGCGCCCGTTGGGTGATGGCTGAGCGATAAATGGACTCCTGAATAGCAAAATCTGAGCTACACATCAGAGTCTCCCAGAGCAACTTGACCGCGCTTTCTTCTAAGGCTCTGTGTTCTCCAGAGCATTGCACTAACTATTTATTATTCTGTGTCCCCTTGGAGATGCATGGGCGTGCGCAGTAATACCTTTTCCGACCACTTTTTGACAGTCAGAATCATGTTCAATTACTTATACTTCAGCTTCTAAGTGGAATGTCTGCGGACTGTGTGGGACTATCAGCAGACTGCCTGCGGCCTGTCGCGAGAATGTCATGCAGTCTAAAGATTCTCCGGTTTATCTGTGAAAACCTTTAACTAAAATTATTTTTAGTGTAAAGTTAAGCAAATGGGACGAAATCTTGAGTTAATTGTTGAGTTTGATTGCTTGAATTTAGTATCGTCATTTTGCTTAACGCTCGCTCCGATTGCAAAACGCAACCCCATTGTGTGCTGCAGCACACATGCATTGGTGCATATTGTATTTTACTAGCTTACCGCCTCAAAGCTATGGCTTGTTATAGCCAGAGAAACAGGGATCCTTTTGCTGTCCAAATAAAATCTTCGCGACAACCCGATCTGCGTTCTGGATCGCCATCCGGATATTGGATTAAACCGGCATAATTTTACTTGCTCGGAATTCGTCTCAAATGTGTCCAATTTAGACAGCCATGGTCATAAAAATACTTACTTATGGCGCTCAAGCAGTCATAGTCGTGCCTTAATCTACGAGCTTAATAAAAAGTGAAAGCTTCTAGATAAAGTACGGCAGTACCAAAGGGGTAGTAAATCATTTGAACACATATATGCAGGCACCAGGCCATTTATTAACAAGGTTACGGTTTGTCTTTGCGAGTAATCGAACCACGCCAACATGGGAGGGATGGTCGTTCGTAATGGTGGATAGTGACAGGTCTTAAATCATAAAACCAGCATAAGTAACAGAACACAATGACAGTGTATGTGAGATGAATTTGTCTTATCATGCCAAAATAGAAAAGTGCTCCCCTAGCATCAAGTGAAAAGACGATGAACTTACAAAAATCCATAGTTTTCCGATCATTTGAATTAGAACCATATTTATAAACGGCCTAAATTAGCATTGATTGTTAACTTATAGTGAACCAGAAAAACAAAGGTCTGCTGTTTTACTTCATTATTGTCTAGTGTAACAACTAAAATTCTTTTTGACTGTGGTTGGTGACGTTCTTCTTTTTTATCATGAGCAAAACCCAACTGGATCCCATGTGAATTTCAGGAAACATAAGTTCAAGTTTAAATTCACTTGGAACCGGAACTATAGGATAATCCCGTGAATGCTTCTTCGTTTACCTACCCTTGAAACAGAAATTGATAGGCCTGCTTGAGCTGTTGTAAACCTAATACAAAGACAACATCACACCCCGTCCAAACACTTACTGCCCAAATTTTCCTGCCCATATGTCCCTGTTAGGTAAGTTTATGTGAAGTAACAGAGTGAAGGTGTTGCTAAGAAAAAAGTGGAGGAATGTCAGCTAACTAATGCTAATACCAAGCTGTGAAAAGAAATTAAATGCAGGAAAGGGAATTTGAAGATAAAAGTCCGTTAGGGGAAGCCTAGGTTTAATACTGCCAACTAAGAGCAACTAACTGACTCTAAAAACTCGCAACAGTAGACTGCCTCACGACTTTCGCGGGGGATGGGTTTCAGCTTTCAATAACCCAGCGCAACAAGCGCGTTTCCGTCCTTACCCGGTCCCATTTGTCTTGCTGCTGGTAAGTGGCAGTTGTAGGGATCAAATAAATTGCATTGTTTTTGCCCTCGATTCCCTTATCCTACTCGCATTTCTGGCTAACACTCGTTGGCCTGTCTTGTGAGCTTGCATTTGATTGGGTGCAATTCGAAACTCCGTGGATTTGCTTGTAACTTGCGTATGTGCCGACGGTTTTTCCATAAATACCTTCCGATGCCGCTCTTCTCCGCTGCTTTTACGGGATACAATAAATTGGCGTCGCGTGTTACTCGTGCCTTTGCATGCCACTGCACCTGCAACGTCCTGGACTGCGGTTGCGGTTAGCCCAAATGCAGCATGCTTAGAATACTAGAAAATTAGACTTTCAGCTTCTATTTCTGTACTACCAGTCCTCAATCCATCCGTGACGCTGTAAACGGAGGGTACTTTGAAGCTATAGCTTTTTACCTAGGCGCAGAGTTAGGACGTATATTTGCTATTCTGAACCTGCAGAGCAACCCACCGTGCCACAGGCCTTATCGGCCTTTGACAAATATTGGGGTGTTCCAGTGAACACTTATGCTTCTCGTTACAATTTTTCGCAGCCGAAACAAGCATCTGGTGAATCAGCGGATGCATCCACTTCCCGTCTTGTTTATTCTGTTTAAAAGCGTGACTACGATAGTAGTTCCAAGAAAAACTGGAAGAAACTTTGCAACTACAACAATTACTTACTGGCCTCGCGGATTCTAGGATACGAGAGACTCTGGTAAGAGAAAACGCTAAAAAGCCCACATGGGACAGGCCCTGTGACATAGCCCGCGCCAAGGTCCCAGGCACGAAACAAGACAAACTTTCCTCTCTAACGCCGGGGCTAATTCACTTGGCTGTTTATATGCTACATGTTCGCTGAGGCAATCCTCAGTTAGAAAAAGGTGTCACAGCTGTGGAAATGCTGAACCTTTTGCAAGTTACAAGTCATGTTCTTCAAAGAGTGAACACTGCCGGAATTGCGTTAATACCGGTCATTTTGTTCAGGTATGCCGTTATCGCGCCATTTCATTAGGCGATCCTACAAATGACTCTATAGCTTCTTCGGTCACCACTGAACAATCTATAGTTGCCGTTAATGAATGCGAACATCCACTTTCGTTTCCAACGCAATCACCCAAACTACCTTCGCCAGGTATTCGTTTTGTGCCATTCGCAGCCAGAAACGAAACCGTTTGTCAAGACTTAGAAATAGGTTCTGCATCACTAATCATACTGATGTTATATTAGTTTAAAAACAGCATTTTCATCAATTAGCTGTACATTCTTCCGCTTAAACTTTCAGGAGTTTCCCAATCGATGGTGTCCACACACAGTTTTGTTATGGTTTCAATGTTTCTTGTAAACAGCAGGGAACATATACTTGAAGTTTATGCTGATAAACTGGCAGTAATCCTCTATTGGGACGTACGGTCATGGTCTTATTGAAATTAGCACCTTGCGTCAGCCGGATGACTATTGCACTGTCACCCTTCAATCGTTACTCTTCAGTTACCCAAACCCTTTTCTTCCAGATATTGGTAGAGTACCAAAAGCGATGCACGGCATTCAGTTGAGCGCGGATTACAAACCATTCAGCATTTCCTAAACTAGGGCTGCAATTCTGGCCAAGCGCTTTGTCTTGTAATAGAGGGTCATGGAAAACTTTCTAGAATCCATAGCGTGTTTTGATGGGTTCATCCACTAGCTGCCGATCAAAAGAAAAATGGTTGTATTGGTGTTTGAACCGACTTTCGAGCACGCAATGGCGAATTAATAACAGACGAATCCTATCGGCCAATTTTTGAGGAGCTGTTGGTTAGGCTTTTAAGCAACAACCTTTTTCAAAATCTGCATATCTGCAGTGCATACAACCACACGCCACTTACTCCATGTTGACGATATTTGACTGCTTTCATCATGCAGGACGGTTTGTAGTGGTGCAAAATGTTACCAAGGAGCGTCAGTAGTGCCGCAGCAGCTTGACAGAAATTTAGCTTTTCATCGCTGGCAGACCTCATAGGATGTGTTTTGCGTTGGATAATCTTTGTCTTTTGTAGTAACCCACCGAACGTCAGGAATACCTTCATAACGTGCTACATAGACTGGAGGAAATAAATCTCCGCCTAATAACCAGGAAATGCCAATTCGCCTTAATAGAGGTAGCGTTTATTGGACCTGTTATTTCAACCAAGGGTATTAAGCTTAACGTGCAGCACACCAGAACCAAACTCAGTTGTTTAATACCATGCAATGTTACACAGATGAAGCATTTCTTGGGTCTGTTTTTATTACCTGATAGGTTTACCGAATATTGCGACTATTGCTGAGCCTTTATGGATGATGCCCGCGGCAAAACCAATAGTTTCGCTGTGCCACTGAACAAGACCATGCTTACTTGATCATACGAGCAATGACTGAATCCACTCCCACGGTATCAATCATCAATAAACACGGTCCAGCTTTTGTTTCAACGGCTGATCCAGATGTTGGCTTGTGTGCAGTTCTGTCCCAGCTTCATGGTGGCAAGGTAAAAGTGGTTGCTTAGGCTTCGCGTATCTTGTCTGTTACAGAAAATACTTATTCCTCCGGCAAGGAGGTGGCTCTTGCCTGCCTCTGGGCGTGTGAGTTAGGGCCCTTTTACTTAATCGTGGGTCCTTTCGCTTTGCGCACTGATCATTCTGCTCCTACAACGCTACTATGTCGCGGTAACCGAGGACAAAAGCTGATACTCGTGTTAATTGAAATATGCTTATGAAATAAAATACGTGCCAGTGTGTTTTAACTAACTTTAAAACGCGCAATCGAGGACTAAGGGGAGGTAACAATGATATGGTAGTGGTCGGACGGAACACCTAGCATAAGGTTTGAAATGGTACCAGGACAACCTGACAAGGCCCCTGTCGAAACGAAGCTTCGGGAGTATGTATCCACTTCATGGCACAGTCGTACCAAGATCCAACCTGTGTTACTTCCTTAATACATCCTACGGCACAAGCCTTTTACTGTGAGCAACTGCGATATCAGAACCGAGCAGTTGGTGTGCTCTGCAACGCTTATTCCGCTGGTGAATGTATGTGCCTATGAATTTCATTCAGGGATAGTGCGAACAATTGCTCGGATACGACAATACTATTGGTGGCCGAAGTTGAATTCCAGCGTTGAGGCGGTTATTTGGGAACGTTAAACCTACCAACAATCCGATAATGCTGTATTACTCCTGAATGTTCTAGTCCGATCTATCTTGTGAACAACGAAGCCACAGGCAAAAGTTGCCATTGATAGTATGGGCCCGGTTGCCAGGGCATTCCCGCAGAAGCGAAACCTGCTGGTGGCAACCTGCTTTTACAGCAACTGGCCAGATGCTATTCTATTCGAGGACGTGACTACAGCCGTCATCTTAAACTGGTTCCGTTGTTTGCTTGCTGGTTACGGTTCGCCAGAGGTAATAGTCAAGTATAACGGCGCACAGTTTCGACGTAACGAGCAGGCTGAATTCCAAGGGAGCAATGGCCTCCGACACATGATGACGGTACCTTATAATCCAGAAGCTAATAGACACGCCGAACGACTTAATCGTAATTTGAAAGAGTCTCTACCAGTCGTTCGGATTCAGGAGCGTCCTGGAATGATGCGTCGGTAGTTGTATGGGAGGTATATAAAACCAATGCACAAACTGCAACTGTAACTATTGCTACTGCGCTACTGTTTTGAGCAACAGTTGGACCGCGGTTAAATGCAGCCTTCACATAAAAGGAAGCTGCGATGAGAGATAATAGGATAGACATGCTGTTTACCGGGCTAAATATAAGGGTATTGGGAGAACTATCCTCCAGAGGCATTTGTTCTTGGAGACTACCCTATTTCTAGAAAAGCTGTAAGGTTCTCCTAACCCAACCCATGTGAAATCTGTGAGCACACCTGGAACTTGCAAGTTAGCTCAGATGACAAGTGTGAACGCAAGACGGCTGCATACGGCGCTTTCCTATCATGCCATTGAACGGACGAACATACCTGCAACACGGCGCTCGGTAAAAGACTAATACAAACGCACGACGTTCCGGTCGTGTACGCCACCCTGTCGACCGATACGCTTTAACGGGTACCACAACATGATGACTTTTAAGGGTGCTGACCCTAGAGTTGATCCTACATGGACACGTAATGCCTATATTTATATGAACAGAAGTAGGGACCATGTCATGTTCACTTAACTTGCATTGTTTTTGTTCTGGATTAGCTTACCCTACTCAAACTTCTATTTAACCCTCGTTGGTCCAGCCCTGTGATCTTGCATTCGCTTGATGGCAATTCGTTCATCTATCTATTCAGTTATAACGTGCGCATGTGCAGACG